ACCCCCGCCCCCTCTGCCACCACCAAGAACCCCCCTCTGTAACAATTTAGAGTAAAAAGGCCGTAAGTCATGCGAGCGTAACATAATCAGGAGAACGTAGCAATTAAGGGGTTTATCGAAAAACACAGGTGGCTCGCCGCTGCTGGACAACATGGAATTGTTGCAAGAGGATGACTCGTCATTAGCCCTCAGCGAGCAGGGAATGGAGAGCGCTCCGACCCCTCAGGAGACTGTAGGTCCGTACCTTCCTCGTTTCCCCTTCTATTTGTCTGTCTGTCTGCCTGTCTATCTGTAACTATTCGTAACTCTGTCTGTTTTCTAATGTACACTTAATAGATTCATCGGCCTAGATAAAACAGTACTGCGCGGGCTGCGTTCCGTAGTGTTCCTAGCTGAAACTGCGTCCCTTGATCTGTCTCTGTCTCTATCTCTGTTTCACGTACACGCAATACACACACGCACACATACACGCACACATACACGCATACACACGACACTTACCACGACACGCACACACACACACACACACACACACACACGTACTAAGAAGAAGAAAAAAGTTCCTTTTTGTTTTTTCCGTTTCTCTGTTTCTCTGTCTTATGCGTAACGAGACGACCGGATCGGTCCAGGCTCGCTGTCCTCTAACTCCTCTGAACTCTTGCAGCTTAAAAGCAGTATTGGTGTTGCTTGGCCTTCGTAACTGCTGGGTGTTGGATGATTGCTGTGTAACGTCTAAAAAACTTTCTTAGCCGCCTGTTATCGGCCCGAACGACCAGTTCCTCGAGTGAGACCGACGGTCCCGTCTCTGGTTCGCTCGCCGACGAGTTCTTAATAAGGACAATACGTCACGTCCGTGATAAAAATTGGACGCTAAGAGACACGGCGCTTGCGAGAGCACCCGCGTGCTCGTGCATCGACCGATCGGAATACGGAACGCTGTCGGATACCACGTGGCTGGGTCGGTTGCACGCGTTGGCGCAACGGGAACAGCTTCCGACAAGCGGAGAAACGAACCGTCCACGCTCGACGGTGTCGAGGACGATTCTCATTCGTGTCGTGTACAGATCTCTCCGCACCGTGCTGAGAATAAATCCGCAATTCACTTGGGCGTCACACGTTTCGATTAACGTTCGATTTGGTTCACCATAGAAAACTAAAAAAAAAAAAAACTAAAAAAAACTAATAAAAAACAAAAACAAACTAGAAGTATATATATACAAAAAAATACAAAAAGTAAAAAGACAAAGAGAAACAAAAAACAAATATATATATGTATATATATATATACGTTCACAGTTTAAAAAAAAAAAAAAAAACAAACCTCGGTGTTGTGATCGATGTGATTTCGCCGGTCCCGTAAACACCTTTTTCGAGTTTGGCTAGGGTGGTGATTCCTTTTTATAGGGGAGGAAGACGCGAGGGTGCTGACATTGGCTGAGCAAATTATAGCGGCGCTACCGGAAAGGATCAAGAGAGCGGAAGGCGATTCTCCGTCTTCTTCCTCGCCACCTCCCCCGGCACCGCCCTTATCGCCACTGGAGGACGCTCTGATGGAACAAATGGTGAGCGATCGTTCGACGCAACGGACCCTCGTCACCTCCATAATCCCAGTTTCGTTTAATCCGTGTCCTGAGATCATTTGCAGGGTTAGAGATGTAGACTTAAAAAAGGAGACCAACCTCGCACCTCATTCATGCATTCTTCCTCGAAAAAACAAATAAAATTCATGCCATAGAACGTTAAACCTATCCATTCCCTAGATTTCTATTCATCATTCCCTCGGCAATCCAAGCGTTCTTCCTCTAAAACTAACCTCGCATTTCTATGCTGATATCTCCGCAGCCTCTGGATTCTGGTGAATTGTTCGACTCTTATCGCGACTGCAGCGGAGGTGCGGCATCGGTGTCAGACGTGGATGCCGATGCCAGCCCCTCGAGTCCATCCAGCAGCTGTCTGACACCGGACTCGCCCTCGCCTCCGCCCACGACGGCCGACTTCTGCGAATTTCTGCAGCTACAGCTGCAATTGGACAGCGGAAACGGGCACAACGGGCAATACTATACTGGCGAACGGAAGTACGGTAACGTGATGGGCTCTGGAATATGCGGGGGTGTGACAGGTGGCGGTAACGGAGCCGGCGACGGAAGCGAGGCGGACCTGAGCAGGCTCACGCTGTCCGATCGCGAGCAAAGGGAGCTCTACCACGCCGCCAGAATGATCCAGAAAGCCTACAGAAATTACAAGGGACGCCAGAGGCAGGAGGAGGCCGAGAGACACGCCGCTGTCCTCATTCAGCAATATTATCGTCGACATAAACAGTACGCTTATTATAGGTAATCTGTTTCTAGCTTAACACGACGCGGCAGTTTCGTTTCATCCCTCATCCTTTTCCTCCCCCCCCCCCACCCTTCTGGAAAGAACAATGGTTGAAAGTGACCATGTGAGATACTGGTCGGAAAAGGAAAGTTTTCGCTAACGGGTGGTTGTACTGTAACGAACTGAGATAGTTGGTTTTCGAAGGAATTCAGTCTATTAGAAACACTTTGAATTTATGACGTCTGGGTATTCTCTCTTGTTTCACACGTGTGCAAATAAGTCGTACTATAAGGATTTATACGTATTAATACGTGTAAGATAGGACAAATTTATTTTTACGATACTTGGAAGGCAACACGTGTGCAATAACTTCACTGTTCAGTGAAAGTTTCTTAATTTCGAATTCTGTATCTTTCATTGACACTGTAATCAGTGCATACAAGACGGACCAAATGGCTCAGTTCTCTACGGTATATCGTAACGAATCAGGAAACATTAGATATTCAATCGACGTGCCATGGTACAGATTGTTATTAGGAGTAACAACTATGACTTTGACATCTTCTCATCGTACGTCGATTAACATTAAAATTACCAAGGTCATACATGCAACTGTATCTTTGTAATTAGAAGAAAAAGAAACAAGCTAATTTACGAATAAAATTGATTCACTTCTACAATAAGTAATTTAAAAAAATTGCAGTGTAGCCATTGTTAATAGCGGACTGCTTTTAATAACAAGTTTGAATACACCCTTGGTAGTTTCAGTGCGAAATAACTGCTGTAGCCTGATTCCTACGCACGCAGCGTGTCGTTACATAAACGATATTCTTTTTTCAGCGTGTACCGAAGGTGGCCATTTTTTTGAGCATTGTCCTTTCAGATGCTTCATGCACGAAACGTCGCATCGACCAGTTCCAGGAGCGTGGTCGGAACCGTTAAATTCTCGTCAGTGTTTCGCGAGTTGGGACGTTAGTTTTAATAAGCGGCAATTAATAAAGCGGGAGGACAGGGCGTACCCGTTGCGGGGGCCAATTTAACGATCCAGTTGAATCGGACGGATTTCACCCAAGTTCGTTCTGTCCACCTCTGCGGAGGGGAGCCGAACTTTTAATTGGCATCGTAAATAATTCGAAAACTTTCGGAACTTCCTTACCGCCGCCGCGGTGTTCCGAATACAAAATTAACCTGGCATTAAATTAATACGACTTTTGTTTGAGATGAAAGCTTCACCCGCCAGCCACCCTCACCTTGCTTCTTTTTTTGGCTCGTTCATTACACGAATCCACTGGGGCAGCGTTTCTCAAACTAGTGCCCGACGACTCCTCGGGGGCCCGCGAGTCCTCGGAAGGAGAAACAGAAACTTGAAATCGGGAGAAGCTGGGGTTACTGTACTTTCGTGCTTAACAGGTTAAATGCAAATTGCTAACAAGATATTAGAATATTCTAAACGATGCCTGTAGAAAGTTAGGTCTCGAATTTGTCCGTTTTTCATATCAAGAAGTAAGCTACGCATCCCTAACAAATAAATCAACACGAACAAATGAACATTGTTCAAAAACATTCTTACATTGCATTAAAAAATGGTTTCGAATAATATCACAAAAATAAGAAGTTCAATTCTACAATCAATTCTTTTCATACAAAAATATATTCTTTTTAAAAAGGTTTTAAGTTGGATCCCCCCAAAAAATAAGAATTTAATTGCACCCCGTGGGGAAGTCGAAGTTTGAGAGACACTGCGTTACCGCATTTCCCAGAGCGCGTCCTTCGGGGTGCTTTTATTTCACGGTGTGCTCTACTTTCCTGTTTCGCAGACAAGCCACGAAAGCCGCGCTGGTGATACAAAGTAACTACCGGAATTATCGGTCGCGTCCGGGGTCGGCCAGCTCGAGGCAGCAGGCTGTTCATCAGCAAGCCGCCCATCAGGCAGCCAGGAAGATCCAGCAGTTCATGAGACAGTCGAAAATCAAGTTAGTATCCGGCCGGTGCACATAATTGCATTTCCTGTTGCAACGGTGTGCACGCATTATTAGTTATGTAGTACTTCTTGTTAGCACACGAAAGGCTTATCGTAACGAAAGACATCTAAAAGTTCTAAAGTCTCCCTCTTCTGTGTGTACTAATGCAGCTTGTCGTGGGACGATTCACGACCGGTAAGTAACGAAAAACAAGTAGGGCGATTGTCGCGCGGCAAACACTGCTCGTTTATCGCTCCCCTCGTAATCTCTTATCTCGAGAGGATAACTCCGCTCTTTCGCTTTCACCAGGACGATCAGTGCACCCTGTTTCACGACACCCGAATTTATAGACCCGGTACCGATCGATCGTTTCTCCCGGGAAGAGAGTAAAGAAAACGTGTAACCATCTTCGAGATTAGTCTCTGTGTTTCTTTTCTGGTTTCTTTTTCTCTCTTTTCTTTTTTTTTTTTTGATTTTATTTATTTACGGAATGCGACCGGTGCTTTGTGTCTTTCCTGTTTTTAAATGTTCTAATCGTGTTACGGAGTACCAGTACATGCAACAGCGTTCACGATACGGAGCTTGTCATAGAGACGAGACGAGATTCTTCAATTATCGCGTTGCTCGACGATTGTCCACCTCCACGAGGAGAGATTTTGGAAACGTGATTGGAAATGATTTATCGTTTTGACGATGAGTACTCTGTGTTGCTATGAAACTGTCCACGCGATACGTGCAACGCTTAGCGTGTACAGAGTGTAGAGAGCAGATCTAGGCACGTTTGATATGACAATTTGTATTTTAGAGACAAACGACTATAGAAATTGAATATTTTAATTTCTAAATTTTTGTAAATTTGCAACGTACCTTAACTCTGTGGTATAGATATGTATTTTGTTTCTTGCAGTAATGTAAAGTAAGTATTTTCATTTATTTTCACTTTCGAGCAATAGTTTGGACGATTCCCTAACTCCATTTCAAATCAAATTTGCCTAGGTCTGATAAGTAAAATATTTACCACTTAGGGCTGGATTCTTCTAGTCACACATCCACCTATCCAGATGTACGAATTCAGACATCAAATTCACATACGAATCTACATTTAGTACATGTAGTTTTGCTATACACGTTTAGTAAAAGTGTATGTACATCAAGAACAAACTATTGCTAAGCAAATTAGGCAGAAGGGAACCGCTAGAAGTCAGTTTACCGTAATCAGTTTACCAGCAAAGTTACGTCACTTGTTTGCCTTAAGCCACGTTTACATGTAAGCAACGTATACTGACAATCAGTATGTACGTATTGCGTTAGAAAAGTAATTCGTTTCAAGTGCCTCGAATATGCGATGCGCATTGTGTTTTGCATTACGCATTGTTTATGTGGTAATGTGGCTTAAAGCTTCATCCTGCAGATCTTGTTTTAAGTCACGTTCCTATATAAACAATTCGTGTTGGGGTACATATTGCGACGCAATCTCTTTTAAGTAAGTCACACACCTGTTACACCGCATGTCGTATATGTGGGAATGTGGCTTAAAGCTTTGTCCAGCAGATCCCAGATTGAAATGTTTTGAAAGTTTACAAATTTCGTGTTCATTAACCTTCGCGATAAGATAAATGAATGTTTAAGTTAACCAGAGTTTTACATTATTGCAGCAGACAAATTGGTGAAAAATAACCAATTGGTACCTTGATTTGGGCTTTCTACCCCCTGACGCGTTAAACTGCTACTTTCTATGGACCGGTGCTGAATTTTCAATTCTAGTAAAACGCATCATAATTTAGATATTCAAGCTACCAAGCAAACATTATCTTCAACCCTTTGCACTCCTTTGTTCCACACGACATTCTTTCAGGTCCAAATCGATATCACACGCTTGAAAATTACAAAATGCAACAATAGTGTGAAAAAACGGGCACTTCAGTGAATTTGTTTCTCTCTTTCTTCGTTTAAATTGCCTTACTATTTAATTAAAGTAAATTACAAATAAATCATTTAAAAGCGTTGGGAGCAGCTGGTAACGAAATTGAAATATAATTCGGAGCGCAAAGGGTTAATATCTATAAAGCAAACGCTCATCGTTCCTCAGAATATTTTCACAAATTACATGATTCATCTCTGAAGATATTAAATTCTTCCTCCAAAGTAGCCTAATCAAACGTTTCAGCCCCGGTTCATAGAGCCCCGTCGTTTAACGTACCAAAAATGACACGAGATCCCAAATCAAAGGGCTGGTGTATCGGCCACCTTCTCGCCTAACGCGCACCGATTCTCGAGCAACGTGTTAATTGCGGACAGATACCACTGACTTAGATGCGCTCGTTTGTTTACGTAGTTGACGTGTTCCTCAGAGTGCTTGGTCATTCAGTGTCATGTATGCACATATGCAGTAGCGGCGGGCGCGGATGAAACGGAACTACATGAACGAATTGCGTTTCTCCAATTAGGCTGCAGAACGCCAGGGCCGCCGCAAGCGTGAACGGGAGGCCGCCAGCGGGCATTTTACGGGCGGTTGCTGTCCCCCAAAGCTCGCCCTCATCTAGCCCAGGGGCCAGCCTAGTAGCCGCCAACCCAGAGGTCACTTAGTCGACCGTCGATCGAACAACGCGCAGAACGCCGACGACACACCGGAAGCGAAACAATAGAGCCTAGACATTCGCGAATATCGAATATCCGGTCGTCGTGTGGAACGTCCAAGGGATTTTTTGTTTTTGTTCGACGTTTCCGGGCGAGCACCGAGGAGGTTCACCACCGATAAGAAAGAGAGTGAGAGAGAGAGAGAGAGAGATAGAGATAGACGAAGAAGAGAAAGAGAGAAAGATGTTGACGACCACCGAAACCACGGGACACGCTTTGCTCTCTACAATCCCTGATTGAACATGTACCTGCCTTTGATCTAAATCTATCCAACCTTTCGTATATTTGTCCCACAGTTCAGCTCAAGGATCGTGCCTCGTCCTGATCTTCTACTACACACACACATACATATAACACACACTGTACACTGAACACAGACGTTCCGTTTTGTTTCAATTACTCGATGCTGCCGTTGTTTAAGTATGTCTTTCTCTGCATTTTTTTGGTACGGTCGACGCTGACGCTAAGCACAGAGGTAGGTGATTAATCATGGGCGCACGCGGCGTATGGTTGGTGGAATAAATATGTTAGCGAATTCAATCTGGTGGTTAACATATGGAAACTATGTCGAACATTTTTTGATACCTATTGTTGGGGTCTCTTCGTGTACTGTTTAAAAAGGGTAGTAATGTACGAGAAGTCGATCTGATGGTTAGCATATGGAAGTTGTGTCGAATCTGAACATTTTTTATCCCTATTAATCGGATCTCTTCGTGGATTATTTAAAAAGTGGGTAATAACGTATTAGAAGTCGCTGTTTCTTGAAGAAAAGCGAGGTCGAGTACTAATAATTAGTAATATCGTCTTTTCGTTCATCTTGAAATGTTCAATTTAAATATGTAAATGTATGCTTGTTGTCTTTTTAAATTAATCTCTTAACGTAAAGCAACTCTGACGTGACCCATTTGCTGAAACTTTGTTTTTGACCATGGCGAATGGTGCGGTTAATTCAGATTAAAACAAGTAAAGATGTAATTATTTCGAAGCTTTCGTGCGGGATACGAGCAATTTAGAATAGATTCAAAGGATTCCTTTCTGGGTGATAGGATTATAAACCTTTGCTCTTCTATCATGTTAATAACAGCTCTGGTTAACTTTATTCACCTACCTCTTGGAACGTAACGTAACATTTATATCACAAATATGAAATGTTATCCAGACTTATTCTGCTGTGTACAGATAATATCACACGCTTGAATCATTAATATTGTTATTAAAGTGACATCTAGTCGGCTTAATGTCTCTAGCGCTATTGTATAGGTTTTTAAAGCGTTGGTTTCAGTCGATCGTGTCAATATATAAATTCGTTCACTTAACAACGTTATCACTGGCTCTTGTCACAGGTGTAAGTGTGCAAAGTAGTCACGCAGAATTAAAAATTTTAGAGATGGTGCAAAATTTCCATCGGGCATTAATCATTCTTAAATATCTCGAAACTACATACTTGAAAAACAGGAGTAGGAATTTTTTACGAAATTTTGAGAATAATTTATTTATTTAAAATGCTGTTCTGTCGACAACAAATAGAAATGTAGTCATTATTAACCTAACGAGCCTCAGACACATGGGTATCGCTTTACAGAACCCTGGAAAATTACTATATTTGTTCCATCGACCATACGTGATCGGACATCGCAAAAAAGTATCAACGATCGCGTTCGTCGCCTTCCGCTCACCGAAGCATCGATCGTCGTCGACTTATACTTTATGACTGAGAGTACAAAAGAAGCCATGTTTCCGTTGAAACCTTTTTGGGAACGACTGTTTTTGCATTGTTTTTGCCGAATTAGCTAGTTTCTCCTATTTGTTTTCTTTTTCGCATCGCCACAAGTCTGACGCCGAAAGCGACCGAATAGTCTTCGCATTCGAGATCTATTTTATCCGCTCTCGTTGCCTATCGGTCGAACGTTTCGCGAGGGTTTCAGTTAATCAGTTTTCGTGTTCCTACCTTCGCTTAGGGATGTTCGATTCTGAGTAAATATTCTAGAAAGTCTCTTTTTAGAGCTTTAACGAATCAATTCTTGCATGTTTAATTCTGGCAACAATCACTTCCGTTAAGAAGTAAGAAAGTTAATGATAAGAATTTTGAAAATCTGGATCGAAAAGAGTTAAAAATCTTGTGAAGAGTAATTTTAGGGCATCGCTTTACTGAGATTTTGATTTTTTTTACACGTATGGTAAAAGTAAGTACCTTAATAGGAAGTAATAATTTTGAGACCTAGAATGGAGTACTTATCTTTAAAAACAAAGAATATTACGGTCTACAATAGTAGTCGAATATCATTGGACCATTCACAAGCTGTACTATTTTTAATTCCTCTATCGTAATGAAATCTTCGTTTAATTTCTAGTTAATTTTTTTACAAGGCACAGTTGGTAACCAAACGAGATACTTTTTCGAATCGATTTTCGCAGGACTCGACTTCTTAGCGAATCTAGTCACATCGACTTAAAATCCAGAATTGACTTTTTTTTTTACAGGAATCGAACATCTCTACTCTCACGTACGAAGGAGCAACAGTATTTTGTAAGACTTAGCACGTCGTGGAATAAAGAATCTTTTTTTTCTGTTTTTCTTTTAATCGTAGAATTTATTGTTCTCGGACTTTCATTTAATTTATGATTTATGTTCTTACGCATGGATCTCAGCGAGAAGTGTGCTGGGTGCTTCTTACGATTAAGTACTGAACGTGTTCTGAGAGTCACGAGCAAAGGAGCCTCGATGCAACGTGAGTTTTATTTTTCCTTTCGTTTGCGTTCTTTTTCTCGTGTCTTCTTTCTTTTTCTTTCAATTGAAATCGAACATGACGCGAACGCGACGACGCCGTGACGTCGAGACGATGCACTATCGATACTTGTACCGCGAACGTTCGTCGAGAATTATAATCATTCTATTTAGACATGGCGAGCGATGATCTCTTCCCCGGGCGCGAAAGTTTTCTTTCGTCGTTTGTTACGGGAAAAGGCAATACACACGTTTCAGGTCGACGAATAAGAAGCACCTTATTTTCGAGGAGGAAGTCCGGTGTATCTGAGATCTAGGAAGAGAGCGAGAGCGAGAGAGAGAGAGAGAGAGAGAGAGAGAGAGAGAGAGAGAGAGAGAGCATGAACGCGAGTGATCGTGTGAACGAGAAAGGCTGCTAGAGAGAAAGAGAGCTAGGGAGTGTTTAAACGAGGTAAAAATGAGAGAAAAGCAAAGTAAGCAAAAATAAGTAAAAAAAAAAAAAAAAACTATTAAGAGCCCCTTCTCCGTTCGAGGGAGGGGGGCGCTTCATCCACGGGCTGTGCTTAAAGTCACAGTATAATCAACTTCGTAGCGTTACATTTTAGGATAAGAATAGTCGATTACATTGTTACAAACTACCTACCGTTTCTCTCTCCAGTAGGGGATTTTTTTAAAGGTTCTTTAGATAAAGATAAAAATAGAGGTAAAAAAAAAAATTGATAAAAATGTAAAACGAAGACGCGAGAAGAGGCGAACGACATACGCGAAGAAGAAAGGGGATGAATTTAAATTAAAAAAGGAAAGGGGGCGTCGGCGAGGCGGAATATATTACGTGCAACGGGGGCACAGCCGTGGTACCTCGCGTTCGGAATCGATTAAGAAGACAAAAATCTATTGTGATAAATTAAATGGTGATCCAAGAAAGTATTTCCGCAGAAAATACCGCAAACGAAATAAATTAAAAAAAAAAAAAAAACGTAATAATAATTAATGAAAATAAAAAAAGATGTTGCAAGCTGAATCCAACGTCTCGACGTCCATCGGGGAAGTGGGAGGGCGGTTTGGGGGTGGACCGCGCTAGCCGCCCGAGACGGTGAGAAACAGGACAGACAGACAGACAGAGAAATTCTTTCAGTAATTACGGTGAGCCGAGATTTTTTCACGCCGCGTCGGGACACTGTCGACGATGGATGATCGCGATCCTCGTCTTCGATTCGACTACAAAAATTAAAGCGAGGAGTGATGAAAAGGGTGAACAAAAAATGGCGATCCCAGCGTCGCTTCTCCGGGCGTTATTCGCTGAGGGGCTGGCGCGAGCACTAGGATGGTTCTCGTTTAGCGTGGTGTTTGAACTGTTGCGGAATGCCGCGTGCGGAAGTGAGAAAGAAAAAAAAAATTGTATAAGAATACTGTACACACGAGTCAATTCCAACGAGCATTTTCATGCCACTAAGCTTAAAGAATTATTAGTTGATAATGAAGCGAATAAGAAACAAACAAACCGATACAAAAGAAAAAAAAAATATGAGAAAAACGGGGGCGACGGGACGAATGGGAACGGTAATAGAGAAAAAAAAAAATGCTGAGCGAACGCTGATGAAACGGAGGGATAAGGAATTCTTACACACTCTTTTAATCATTGTTAATTAATTAATTAATTAATCACGATCCTATCGATACTTAAAACGAGACGAGTAAAATAATAATTATTATTATATACACAAAACTATTATTATATTCATATTTTTGCTTATTACATATTTAAGACAACTATTAAACGAGGGCTAGCGAGTATAGTACGTTTGATGAAAACGTTTAAACAGAAAAATGTAAAAAAAAGATACCGAAGTGCGGGCTGGAAGGGGAGGGGGAGGGATAGGGGTAGGGGTGTTTAGGAACGCGAGAAGGAAAGCGAGGCCGATGACGAAGGAGAAAAAAAAGTCTCACCTATAGGAATATTTTTAGTCTGTCGGGCTTGTGTACAACTTCGTGCGTGGCAATCAAGCGTCGAATTTTATGATAATGAATTAAAAAAAAAATATATATATATACAATAAAGGAACAACATAACGAACCCTTTCGGGAGAATAACAGGCGAGGTAAGGAGATATTAAACGAAGAAAAAAAAAGACAGAAATTCTAGCACCGTAACACGCCGAATTAAACGGGTTTCTTTGGCAGTGGGGCCCGATCGCTAAAACGGCGGTGTCGTCGCTTTTCCAGAATTCGAAAACCTATTGAAGTAAATTGATTACCGATACTAACGGTAACGGGGAAACAGTATCTGCACACAGTATTTTTCAGTCGCGAACGATACGGAATTTCCCACGAATGGAAAAGTCGACGCCGCTCGGACAAAATATTTCACAGTTCCCCCCATTATTATTACTATTCTAGGAATCGCATTATTACCACGTACACGAGAATGAGGATTAAAAAAACAAATACCTTATCGAGGTACGGATGAAGAAGCGGGAAAAAAAAAGAAAACGAGAAAATGCTAAAAAAGAATTAATTAATTAACTAAAAAAAAAAAAAGACATCGCTAGGGTAGGCGCTTCGAGGAATACATAAACTTTAAAAGTCACTTAATACAAATTATTCTCAAAATATTAAAAAAAAAAAATAAAGTTTAATAAGTAAACAAATTTTTAAATCTACCTAAGAAAGCCAAGAGTCAAAGACGACTAGATGATAGGAGCCGCATGGCCTAACTGCTGCCACTTTAATTAATTAAAAGATAATTAATTATAACTTTATTACTACTTAATTAAACTCGAAATACAGAAATGAGAATTATTAAAAAAAAAAAAAATAATTAAAAATAAATAAAACTAATGTCATGCCACTTTTCAAACTAAACTTTCTAGATGCAGAGACGAATCAGTAGGTATAGTGAAACTATTAAGCGAAACTTTTTCTTCTGATTGGGAATGATTGATTCGCGCTATAGATTCGAATATTTCCAATTGTCCAGTCTCCACAGATAAATCGCACGAGTTATGTACGCGTGTAAGATGTCTGGTTATGAACCAACACGACCGTCCATCCGTAATCGGCACTGCAAATTCGTACAAAAGAAAAAAATGATACGGAAATGACAAATGAAAAACTTGGAGTAGCTTGTCGTTCGACGAAGGGAAAAAAAGTTCAACGCCCCGAAACAACGCATCAGTTCGCGCGAAACGACGTTGCACCCGAAACGAGGAGACGTTTTGTTACTAACGATTCGATCGACTATGAAAAAAAAATAACGTTGAACGAAATTTCTCTACGAATGTTTTTTCTGCTTTTTTTCCCTCTCTCCACGGAACCACTAATCGAACTCGATCCCACGAGCCACAACGTCGTGTTGGTGTGTCGCGAGACATCCTGTAGGACGTTTGTATCACGATGTCGAAAAGGTCGAAACGATCGGATATCGGTGCCTAGCTCACGTTGTTCTTACTCACTGTTCCTTGATTAAGACGGTCACTTTGTACCTGCTTGCTGCCTGCCTGGCTCCGTGCGTTACATAAAACATATTTCTAGTCTTTATCGAGGTGTAATCAACGCTCTTGTAATTTTACTCGATATAAAAGTAAACAACAACAAATCAACGTCCAAGCATTGTCGCGTAATTTCGTTTGTGATAAAACGTGTGCGATTTTTCTACACGGTATCGAGGAATCGTAACGCCGATCGATTGATTTCTTCAATATTTTCCCCCCCCCACCCCTCATTCGATTCTCGCGACGAGCGACTATCCCGGAAGGTTGATGGTTTCGACAGCTGTTTCGACATCTGCATCCCAGCCGACGTAAACCGCGTTCGAAAATTCACGAAGCCGATTTCCTTGGAGCTCTCCTCGTTCGTCGCGCGAGTAATCTCGCGTCAACGCAAAAAATACAAAAAAAAAAAAAAACAACAAAAAACTGAAAGAATGAAGAAGCAAGAAATGAAACGGAAAAAAAGAAACAGTAAACGATGAAAGAAAATTAATTATCGACCCGACAGAAGCGCATAGGGCGAAACGAACCGAGGGAATTACTTCCGCAGTGAATTTTTGAACGAAGGCGGCAATAATTAAAATGAAAAAAAAATAAGTAAACAGGTTCGTGCTACTTTTAGTGGAAACGAATAATGGTAAAGGCTCCATCTCTTGTAATATTTTTATTATCGCAAACGTAATATATTACATTATTAAATTATATTAAATAAAGAATTACGCCACCGTTTATTATTTATTATTGACTAACGTTCAACTAATATTGTAAATAATAACGAAAATATTTTATCTATATTTCCGATCCGGGGGTGTTGGGCGGGGCAGCGTATTACCTCTTGTCCGCCCTTCAAGGCGATCGTTGCGATCGCCGTTCGCCCGCCCCCCTATTGTTACACCATTTCATCATTGCATTTAATAAATTATATATTTATTGACTCACTCACCTTTTCACTCACCCCCGTCGTTCGTTTCTCTATTCTAGCTGTAGGCATTCGTCCAAGATACGCCCGACGAATCGTCCTAATTTCCAGTGGGTCGTTCTCAGAACGAGGTCGGCTCGGCGGACGTGAAGAAGAAGAGGTGAGATCGTTGTGTTTTTCTTTTTCAGCCTTGGACGATACTAATATCTTCGACGTCGAGGTAAATTGATGGTACACGTTATGAAAAAGACTTCAAGGAGATGACCAATTTTGATTGGTTAATAAAACCTGTGATACGAGGAAGACTTACCTGACTTAAATTCTTACGAGAACTATATTTTGATTACGAAAATATTTACTTGCATCGACACTGCTTGATATAATTTTATAATATGTTCCGTATATTATAACTATAAAAAATAATTGAAAATGTGTAATTAACATTCAACAGTCATATAAAGAAGTTGTGTCTGTGGTTGCCTAAGCAGCATTTCCGAGTCCCAAACGAATAACGGGAAGACGGACGTCGTCAGGCACAGTAGAGATTTTTATCAACGACGATTTAAAGACGATTTGACCGTGCGTGACGGATCGAAGAAACAGGGGACACGTGGTTCGTTTTAAAAAATTTTTTTAATACTTCCGCAACAATTTATTTAAAGCATACAAACGGTACAAACTGTATTTGTTGTCACTTTGAGTATAAATTAAATTAAGTTAACGCGGATATCAAGTGCGTAGGAGGAGGGTGACAGAATAAGGGAGGGTGTAAGAGAAGAAGAAAAGATAAACGGGTGGATTTTTCTTGGTTACGTTTTCTTTTTTTTTTTCAAGCTACGAATCATCGAATCGACCAACGTCCGAGATATTCTCTTTCAGTTCCATCGTCGATTCGTTATCGAGCAACTATAGGCCGCGAAAAATGAAGTGGAATATATTGGAAATTCACAGACAATCGAGCTGAATCCTGAGTTCGAGTCACGAGAACTTCCACGACAGATCGAATCAATTTTTTCCCCCGAAACGAAAGCTTCCATGGTCTGTACCAAAGGGCTTCCCCCCGAATAGATTAGCTCCACACAAACGACTAATGTTAATAACCTAACGAAGCAAGCAAGTTTACGCGACAACCCACCCTCCCCATCCCCCTGGAGAAATATATAAACCGAACTCGTCGTCGAAGTGCTCATTTTGCTCGAGTTTCCGCGCCAAAGTCGACTTTAGAAATCCCTTTGATCGGGGTACGGACCATAGGGCTGCTCGTTCTGATCATGCGCGCAGTCGAAAGTACTTTGGACAGAGTTTGCAATTTTTTAAGCCCGAGATCGCTCGAAGTCTCTGGTTAGGAGAATAAGAAGGTAGCGATGGGATCGAGGGTTTTGCGAGTAGACTCGAATTTTTATCGATCAGGTTCGAAACTTCCACAAGTATGAAACGTACAATATGGAAACAGTATTTAAACGCAAATGTAGTAATGATAAAGAATATCTGAAGTACGAATAATGAAGCTTCACAGTTCCATTCTGTTCTTAACCTCAACTATTGTTATAAACTATAGTCCAGAGAGTTAATCAAATTTTGACAACTTGTCTACACATTTATGCTTCCTATGCTCGGTGAAAGAGATTATATATAAATATTCATCGTGTGTCTCAAAAATTGGTATAGATCCACTGTCTGACCATTTCAGCCACATTCTACTTAGCCTCACTCGCCAGGCCTGCTTCACTGTCTGACCATTGCAGTCATACTCTACTTAGCCTCACTCGGCACCACTGCTCCGCTGTCTGACCCAGACCATCACGAACTACTGAAACTCCCGCAGAATTTCGTGCGTTCGCGAAGGCTGGAGGAAGCAGCCTGTGTTGATTCAGTGAATCGTTTTCATATCGATGATAGATTCATTCATTTCCTTCTTCTTTTAATGACGAAGATATAGATGTACGCATAACAAGCCTGACAGTGGATAGATCGAAACATTTATTACTTATGGAACGCTGTACGGACCAATCAGGATAACCTCCTCTATCGCGATCGTACTTGATCCCATCCCGTTTGGAAGGTTCGTGGAAAGAAAAGAGAAAGAAAATAAAAGAAAGAGAGGACGAATCAGAACACCTGGACGCGGTGATTCTCGCGATCGCAGACGACGATGTTACCGGTCGACGTGACGGCGACACCTTCCAGTCCCTTGAATTCACCGTCACCGCTGCCCCAGCCGCCGAACGACTTCAGGAACGCGCCCTCTGGGCTGAATATCTGTATTCTGTTGTTGCCGGAGTCGGCGACGACGATGTAGCCCTGGTCGTCGACAGCGACGCCCCTGGGGAACTTGAACTGACCCTCGTCGGAGCCCTCGGATCCGAAGGAGGTCAGCACCCGCCCGTTCACGTCGAATATCTGAATACGATGGTTGTTGCCGTCGCTGACGATCACGCGGTTAGTGTTGCTCACCGCGATGTAGTGGGGGTGTTCCAGTTGGCCACGTCCGCTTCCGCAGGTACCGAATTTGCCCACGAACGTGCCGTCCGATTGGAACACCTGAGGAATAGATATCGCGTGAGCCACGATGGTTCTATGTAGGAATATTCGTAGTTTTCCATGAGACTGATACGATATTGACTATATTCGAGTGAGTTCTTCGATTTTATTGCCTCCTGTAGGTTGGTAGACTATATGTTTCTGTTGCTGTATATGAACCATTACTAGGTACTGGATCATTCTTACGATTCTTGTAGTATAGAAATCATACAGTCAGAGTTAGTGAATATCTTTTTCTGTATCTGTCTAAGTATGATTCGTTTGGGTTATCATCCACTTTAACAGTAGCCAAAACATCGAATTTCAGAATGTATTGCACACATATTCACGAACCATAAGTGGCTACTGTACCACCTAGTGTTGATATGGTATCAGTCTCATCGCTTGGGTCACCCGAGGAAGTCTCATCGCTTCAAGGTCTGGTTGAAGAATTGATAACGAGTCCCTCGAGTTTCAAAGGTCGGAATTCGATGGAATTCCAAGGGAATCGCAATGACACTTACCTGCACGCGATGGTTCTCTTTATCGCACACATAAATAAATCCAAGAGCGTCCGTGGTGATCCCCCAAGGATAGTTAAACCGACCGTCGGCGGTGCCTTGGGAGCCGAAGGCTCTCAGAAAACGGCCGGATGGGTCGAGCACCTGTATTCTATGGTTGTAACGATCCGCGATGATGTATTGCCCGATCCTGTTCACGGCCACCCCGGCGAGACAGTCGAATTCACCCTCGCCGCTTCCGTACGTTCCGAACTCCTTCATGAAGTTCCCATTGCAGTCAAATACCTGAGAAACGTCACGGTATCGTTAAAGGGTTAGTACCATTCCATTGAAAAATAATCATTTATATCGGGTATTTATAGTGAGTTCCCTAGTCGAGAAATTGACGCTTAGTTTTTTTTAAGGCTTGCAGTGTTCATCCCCTACAATAGTTATTAATTCTACTATCGTACAGATTATCGTCCTTTATATTTGGTAAGGGTTGATAAAATGTTTCTTTTTACATATGTAGTTATTTGATTTGCAATTTTCAATTATGAAACTATTTAATTAAACACGAATGCAAATTAATAGTGAACATTGAGACGAAAATAGAGAAATGTAGGGAAAACTCTGCGTTTCAAAATGGTGCGCAATATGAATATATCAAGAGAAATATTTATTCCGAAAACAAGCATTAATCTACTCTGTGGTGGGATGAATATCTTCACTTTCAAGCGAGCCAGCTTCAATCTAATGGTCCAAACGAAATTCTCTGTATAATTATACAAGAGTCTAAGGATCAAACTAAAATCCTTCGAAAATTTTCAAAATTGAGGATGGCTGTGTTTTACTAAATCAACTTTCTTTGAGGGGAAAACGTAAAGAGCAGTACCTCAATTGCTGTCGTCGTTTATGTTTTCCTTTCAAAGAAAGTTGATTTGATTAAAACATCGCCATCCTCAATTTCGAAAATTTTCAAAATGTTTGTACCTTTATTGCATTCAATATTATCTTAACTCTGTCTATGTAGACAAACTATAAGTATCCTTCTACTAATTTCGAAAATGAAGAAATTAAAGAGAATCACTTCAGTAACTAAACATTCAAAGTTTCGACTTTCATGCCATGAAACTTGCTTGAACGAATGCTTGAACTTTTAGAACCTTTGCGCCTGTAATTTACGGAAAATTAAATTTCTGCGATACGAATGCCTCTGGAATGGTATAATATTCGAGGATTTCGAGTAGAAGGGTAGTATCGTAAGCCATAAGTAGTTACTTGAACACGATGGTTAGAGCTGTCAGCCACGACGATGGTGTTGTCTGGGCCAACTGCGAGGCCTCTCGGCCAGGTAAAGCATCCGGCTTCGCTCCCCCGCATCCCAAATTTGAACAGCTGCCGCCGCTTCAGCAAGTAGTGACTCCTCCAGCCATTGCTGTTACATTTCGAACATCGATCATACACGAAAATCCTCTACGACCTCGCGCACACAATACCGTTCGTAATTATTCAAAGGCTGGTGTAGTTTAACTTTGCATAGCAGTACAAAAGACAAACTCTTAGAAGCCTTGTGTCAGCAACTGATAAAACAAGGCAAAATTTATTCAAAGTTTGTGTTTCAGCTTTCCACATTTCGCAAGCATAGTAATCAGTAAATATTAAAAAGTAAAAAAAAAATGCTGCTTTGAACGATTCCTTTGGTGGTCGATTTTTTTGTTAAATAATCTCGTTCGAATAAATCTGAACAGCAACGCATACGGTCGTTGAATTCACTCACCTAGTGGAGGAACCTGCTGCCGCGAGTATAACGGGAGCTGCTGTAGGGGACGTGGGGGAGCCTGACGGGTTTTTTTGATCGTCGTCAGAAGATTCGAATGATGTTTGGCCACCGTGCCTCAAAGGTAGACCGAGCGATAACCTCCGCGAGGCTGCGCTGCTACTGTAAAAAGATTAACTTCTCAGTTCATCCAGGGACACTTCCATTAAGGGGTAATCCAGTCTAGAGCGACAATCTTCAGATATTCTTTTCGATTTCTTTTCTTTAAATGCAACTACAACTTTTTTTCTGAAATATTGCACACGTGTTTATTTATATTTCAAGAACACATTAGGCTGTCCAGAAAGTTCGTGTCAATTTTTCAGAAAAATTCATATTCCTCCAAAAAATAGATTTGTTGGATATTCTAGACTGGAACACCCCGTTTACGACGAAAGTGGGGTTCGAATTAAATACACGTTTATAATTTTAGCACCATGTGACTGGCAACGCGATCCACTTTATATCACCGATCCATATATATTCTCATGGATTCTTGCCAGGTAAGGGGCAAATGGCCAAGTTCACGGTACCCCTACTCCTTTTCCACGCGTGTCTAGACATACTCGAGCTGAATCAGTATGCCACCGATCGTATAGCAACTTCAATTTTCCGAAGCTTCTAACACCAGACGCGATTAAACTACAGTGGCGTGAATAATCATATCCTGGGAATCTTTCGTAACGTTTTCATTACGAACAGGTTTTTATACTGTGTTTAATCACTGCTTCACAAGCAAACCTAAGTTACATTTTGATGTGTTTCGTGTGGAGGAAAAATGTGTCATATTTTGTGTGGAATATATGAATTTCTATATTATAGAAGAAAGATAGTAAATTGGAGGTTTGACAAATATTTTCTACAAAATATCTAACTTTCCTCCAACATTTTATTGCATGATTTATTTTGCATTGTGCTTCAATTCATTTTTGCATTTACATTTTGTGCTCGTTCTTAATATGGCGAAATAAAACGAATAAAAGAACACTTTGTCCCCTTAATTATTCATCTCGTTATGTGCTCGACGAGTTGTATAACGAGTAATGAAATGGCAACGGCCTGTCAATAAATTAGCGATGCGTAACCGTTAAAACAGATTGTAAATTTAACGATTACAGTATTGTTTATCGAATGTATATCATTACGTATTGAGAATTAATTTTGATACATGTGTGACAAGGTACGGGAATTTGCATGAAACATCAGCGCTGCGTCAACAGTTCGCGGTGTTTAAAGTTTCAACTAGGATACCAATTCAAGGATTGAATTATTATTTATTAAATATGTTTCGTCCGTTCTGAATATGAATTCCAATACGTGTAATTAATGTTTCGCATATTTTATTTAAATGACGCACTGAAATTATTACATGCAACGTACGTTCTAATGCATTTCCCATGTTTTATTCTACCTATTTTAATGCAATTTGTACGTTTGGATGTGATTAATAATACAAACAAAAAAAAAAAAATAAAATACACATACATTTTGTATGCGTTATTCAATTCGTTACTGAATACGTAATGTAGAAAACGTGGATAACTTCATCTCTGTCTATATTAATACATTTAACATGTGAGCTTTATTGCAGTATTATAAATGTATTTTTTTATATGATTTTGAATTCTGTTGTTCCATATTAAATTATTTCTTGTATAGATTACAGTAAATTTATGTTTGAGAGTTTTCCAATAACTTGTTATATTCGATGGGTTAGAACTTCTATCAATCAATGCCAATAAAAGGAAAATAATTTTGTATGAACTATGAGGTACAATGCACTTAATTAATGGTTGTTTAAATATTGGAAATGCACAGATTTTGTTCATTAAATTCAAATGAGATACATACGACAAACTACTATTTTAAAACACATTATATTCCAAAAAGTTACACATTATAAAGGTGGATGAATATTCTAATCTATTGATAATGTTTCAATATTTCATGGTGATTTGTCGTGCTCTGTGTGGTATGATGAAGAAGAGGTTCGTGTTTAGCCATTTGCCCCTACCATTTATTATATAGAGCGTATCATAACACGTGGGAATCACTCAGGAGTAGGGCGAGGATACTTAAATAATGAGGATAGTTTACGTAAGCATATGCCCTACATGGCCTTATTTACAAGCTATTAGTCATTCCGTGGCCAGTCCTCAGGCCTCATTCTAATTGCTCGGAATTTCATTCTCATTCGGCAGATAATTTGATAATTACAATTTATTCAAAAGAAGTAAGTACTATATTTCTAGACAGCTGTAAAATCAACAACTCTTTAAATATTAAAAATCTCTTAAGGCAGCACAACACTGTAAAGAAAGATATTTTCATAAATTCTTTATGAAGTAACTATACGATGGATGGTTTTTAAAAATTCAATACGTTTCACTGAATATATACAACAAATTTTACAGTGTTGTGCCCCATTAACCACTCGAGGGATGAATTTCGAACTTTTTATTTTGCTTTAATTGAAAGCAAAAAAATGTAGATTGATTTTAACCCTTTCAACCCCACTTTATTCTATGTGTGTTCCATTCGTCTTTCTTTTAGAAATCAATTACATTAAAGTAGGGTTGACTATACACGAAAGGCTGTAGCCAAATAAGAAGATTTTCATTTCTTCAACATTTAGTTTCATAATCTTTCATAATCTTCTTCTTAACACATCTTTAAAAATTTCTTTAACTTGTATGTAACATGTAACATATAATTTCTGTAACATTTATTTTTGTATGTCTCAATTGCAATTTGGCCAAAGCCAATCAGAAATAATCACTGGAACACATATAATTTGTATGATATAACTCGCCATAGTTGAAAGGGTTAACGCACAAATATATCGTCTCGCTTTAACGATGATTTATACAAAAGTGTCAACATTCCTCGAAGGGTTAACGAGTTACCTCCGTTCACAAAAATAAATAAAAATAAAATAGCGATACGTCGAACAAGAAGTACCCCCTTTCTTCCCTCGGTATTCGCGCGGAATGTCTGAATTCCGTAATCCTAAACGTTACTCGCGATAGTGTCTCGTTACGGAATGACGGTCTGGCCAGTCGTCGATCGATTTACGCACGGTCTCGAGAGGAATCTTCGCCGCTGCTGGCTCAATGCACCGTTCTGGGGACTCCAAGTTTGGGTGATATTTTTTGCACGCCATCTCCTCCAAAGCGCGCCTGGGTTTATAGTCAAACTGGCTACGATCGGGGCTTCCGGACGGCTAATCGGAAGCTTCGATGAAGCCTGGGAGATCGTTTTCCAGCCGTTCCTGTGTTGGTTTAGCCTTGCGCGCGGCTGTCGAGTCTTGCTGGAAGATCCAGGGTTTACCATTAAACAATTTTTCGAGTAAGCGGTTTAACGAAGGATTCGAAGGTACGCTGTCTTGGTAAACATTATTTGCTTTCGACGTGTTTCACGCGAGATAGGATCTTCTGCTTGCGTAAAGGGTTGCGCAGGATCCTTGCACGTACAGCGTTCACGGCTTTCTTCGTTCGTACAATTTTTCTCGACGGCCTTTCCCGCGACCTATCGACTTCACGCCTCTTTATGTCACCGAGGACACGTTACGTTTCGTTGCGATTAGCGGTAGGAGTGTATTAAACGTTTCCCGTGTGTGAAAAAAGCGATAGCAGCGATCTTCCTCTCGAGACCGTGCCGTAAATCGATCGTTGACTGGCCAGAGCGTTTACGGCTTTGAGTCAGTGGTGTCTCTATGAGGGTGTGGAGGCACTGGGTGACACCAAAACTGTTTATATAATTTGTGTGCAAAGTTTCGTGCAGATATTTGTTACTTTTTCCGATGATATCTGTCTTTTTTTATCGCGTACCACTGTTCTGTCAGCATTGAACGCCAGAAAAGGGAATTTTTCTAATGCGTAACGAAACTATTATTTTTCTTTTTGTATGGTCGTGTGGTCAAAGTGATATTTTGATTACGTCTGAGATTCAAATTTCATAGCTTTTGTTAAATGTTTTGTCGAGACACTTGTTTACTACTGTTGTTGCTACTGTTTGTATTCATAGCAGGCACGTATTGAGGTTCAAGAGTTTCTTGTTGCCGAGCATAGTAAGTTTACTGACAGATTTCAATTTAAATTATCTTAGCCGCAACCTTTACCTTCCTTGAAACTGATTACTGTTTGTCTGAACGCGACTTCGAATTTCATAGGTAATAGCGTCGGTCACTTTCCGAGAATCACCCTGTATAACCATCACCAACGAGTGTCTACAATCGCTAGTAAACGTGAATGCTTTAGAGACAAATTCCCATTTGAAGCAACTAACAAAGGTAAAGGCAGGGTGTCCAAGTCTAAGTGATACGGAGCTTTAACTCCAAACCTATCTTCCGAATGCAAAATTTCAAATATGGAAATTGCATGGTAAAATGGAGCTCATGTTTCAGCGAGAAGGAATTTTTGTTAACTTTGTTATTTAACGTGATATGATTGTTCCATTTGAAAAACGAAACTTGACCATCATATCTCGTTAAATAACAAAGTTAACAAAAATTCCTTTTCGCTGAAACATGAGCCCCATTTTACCATGCAGTTTCCATATTTGAAATTTTGCATTCGGCCGATAGTTTTGGAGTTAGAGCTCCGTATCACTTAGACCGAGACACCCTGTAGAATCGCCAGTGACAGTAGCCAATCACCAATGCTTCCACGTTCACGTTAATACATATCATCACCGTGAATATAAATGCAACAAGTTCTTACCTCGACGACGGGATAGTCGAGGCGGACGAGCTTGGCTCCTTGTCCTTGATGGTGCGATTTCCGTATTTATTCTTCAGGTACCTCGCCCAGGAGCTGAGAGCAGCGCCGTCCTTCTCGGCGCCAGCTCTGTCGCGTTCAGGGCTCGGCTCTCGCGACTTCAGGGCGTGAGTGCTCCGACTCCTGGCCAATTCAGAGCCGGCTCCGTACTTGGCCGCCAGATAAGCGTTCGGCGACTGGGTCGTCGGCGAGGGTGGCTCCTCGTCAAGGTCGAGGTCATCGCCGCCGAAGTTGTGAGAGCTTCTGGACCGCGCCAGCCGCTGTCTTCTGTCCTTCAACGTGGCGTAACGCGACCTCGCTGACAGAGGCGATTCCGCCTCGGTTTCCGCGTCTCGTTCGCGTTCTCTTTCTCTTTCTCGCTCCCGTTCCCGTTCTCGTTCCCGTTCCCTGTCCCGCTCCCTCTCCCTGTCCCGTTCCCGTTCCCTGTCCCTTTCTCGCTCCCTTTCTCGCTCTCGTTCGCGTTCCCTTTCTCGTTCCCGGCTCGCTATCATCGCCGCCTGGCTTCTGCTCTTGTTGAGGAATCTGGAACAGTTCGGAACGAACATCGGCTAGTTCAGACGTTCTTGTTAATTGAGAAGCCTCTGCGTTACTTATGGAACAGCGTCGGGCAATGCCTGATCCGTGATTACGATTAGGGAACGATCCGTGATCGTGATCGACGCGATTCGGTGCTGTTGCACTCGAGAGGATAGGTTCGGATACTTGGAGAAAATGCGTGGAGCTCGGAAATTGGTTTTTGAGAAGGACGTAGGTTGAAAAGATGCGAAATGTTTCATCTGGAGGTAGAGATCTGTTTGAATTTTATTGGATGCCATGTTTTAACTTCTACCTTTTTGTTTCAGGTTCGCTGTTCTGTATTGGGAGACACGACCATTTTTCACTATTTTTACTTACAAGTCACTCCCACAAATATTTGTAACCATTGTAACTATTCAAGAAAGTCTAAATCAAACGATAAGTTTCATGTTTCCAAACGGACGTTTCGTTAGAAATATATGCACGAATAAACTGTACACGTTTATGTAGATAGATACAATGAAATATTTATTTGGAAATTTGAACGTGTCATTTAATTTAGAATTTCTTGAATAAACATAGAGGGTACGAATACTTACAAGACTGACTGTTTATATTCTACACAAATAATTCTTGATCTCTAATTGTTGGTTTTAGAAAGTTTAGAAAGAACACACAATAAAGTTTTATTGTCTTGAATGAATAATCATAGTGTCATTCGGTTATCAGTCCCATCGCTAATCGTGATTAATGATACGCGTATTAGTAACGAATGTTCACGGATTACTCGTTTATGGTTGCAGATGTAGTCAACGATTTGGCGATCAACGTGACGATAGCGAGTGATCGTTACAAAAGTAATCACAAAGCAATTACTGCCCAACTCTGCTCGGCGATTATTCGGGGGGAAGGAAACTCGCGGGCCATCGGGGGTGAGAGTGATTATCGACCGTGTAGGAGGGATTGGTTCTTCACAAAATGTGGGTGAAACAGTTTTCCAATAACATGCGACCGGTTGTTTCTGCTCCAATTGTTGTGGCCAGGGGAAACATTGGAACTCTCGGTTACTCGTGTTATCTTTCACGATGAACGACCGAAGCTCGGGTCCTCCATCCTGGAGCTGTTAACTCGGAGCTACCACCATTAACATTCCAGCTCCACGCTCCTTTCATATCTAATGCCTTGTAATTCAATTCATATAATGCCTATTCCAATAAAAGAAATTTCTAACAAAAAAATTTTAGTTATATGAAACATATGAATCTATTGTAATGTTGATACGAATCTTCTAAATTTCTAGAATTTAACACAATATTAAAGGAAAAAGATACAATTATTTTATAAATAATAAACTGATTTCTAAGACTATTTCTGTATATAGTGAAGCGTTACAATAATCGATATGATGCTTCTACACAGGCATTTATTTAGAAGAAAACCAATGTTCGATCGGTTTCTTGACCCACCGCGTGTAAATCCGCGGTGTGTCTGATACCGCGTCGGATCTTTTTTCGATGGCCTTGATAAACTGCGTAAGAGTCGAGGGAAATCGGTGGGCCATGCTGCCGCTGAAAGCAATTTCGTTACCGGAGGAACCCTGGTCCTCGTTGCTTTTAATTATTGGATTTTTTTCGGCTCGTTTATCAAATCGTTTTCGCGCGGCAAACGGGCGCGATAAAGCTCGCCCTCGCCTAGGCCGCGGCGATCAAACGAACGATTCCCGCTCGTTCCCGTAATAACGTTCGCGTAACGTTTATCGAGTGCGCGTAACGACGAGTTTCCAATATCTTTTTAATCGGACGTTCGGTCGACGGACTGGAGAAGCGATTTAAAGTGCGTTCGTCATCGATTCGCTGGAACCAGCCAAATAAAAATTTAAGGTTCTGTTGTGGTCAATTATTTTCTGTATCTTTTTTCCTCGTTTAATTCGCAACGAATAATAATTCGTTCGACGAATCGATCAGTAAGCGAACAGAAATCCATTCCGAGGGCTTAACGTAACCGGAGCAGTGATATCGGAGGCAATGCCTCGTTCGAGCGAATTTTCGAAGATGACGATCGTTCTACATTCGAGACCAATGACTCAGGCTTTGGATCATGTAACACCTCACTCGTTTAGCCGATGGCGTAGCATGTGGGTCATAACGGAACTGCAAATAGTTCCAAGCTACCGAGGATAGACTTGAAATATGTCGGTCTTGAAGTGCTAATGCAGGCTGAGGCGTTTAGGACAGGCGACCTGAATAACTCATTTACTTTTGGCGATAGGCGTAAATGCGCGAACAGTTGTTAGGTTTGGAGGAGGATATAATTTGGTACGGAAGTCTTCCTTGAAAGTGGCGATGCAACGCTCGATTCCTTTTTTAACCTACTTCGAAAAGGAGGAGGTTACTCGATTCGACATGTATATTTTATTTTTTTCAAATAGTGTTGGCACTTTTATAGTAGGACTCGACGGGATGATGAATTCTTACAGCCACCATTATGCAACTTTTATAACGGACCTCTTACAATGAAACATTTAATTGAAGAATGCCAGATCGAATAGAGTTTAAACTTTTACATAGTATGCAGATAATCCTCAACAACAAAATATTAACGAAATATAATGAAATATAACACGTTCAATAAATTATAATTAAATTGTAATCATCGACGTGGTCACTAATAATCTCATAGTTAACGGGACATTGAAGAAAGTAATTGTAAAAAAAAGAAAAATGAATTCTGAGAATAAAAGAGTTGTCTAGCATGAAGATAATAGAAGATTACAATCCCTGAATGGCTTTGTTGTATCCAAATTTCGTTGCTTCCAATCGTGATCTAATAAACAGTAACCTAGTGCTCCTACAGACGTCGTACAAATGAGACAACATTCTCGAAAGAAAGACATTTAAAGTCACTCAAGCTCAATCAAGGTCAACCGCGGTCAACCAGGGTCAGTTGAGTCCAAATAACAATACTTCAGCACCCGAGCGTCTCATCTGAGTCTCTCTAAAAGTAAATGAGTTATTCAAGAGACCTCTCCAAAGTGCCTCTGTACCAGCTATAAACACGAACGACACGAAAAGTTTCCGTATTCGACGTAAAACGTTAGGATCGTACATAACCAGCGTATTTTAAGTTCCCAACGTAAAAATTCCACAGACGTAAAACTCGAACCAATTCAGAAATTCCAAAGTCAGCGATATTTAAAAGTGTTCGCGCGAGAACAATTCGACGCTTCGAGTCGTCTAAGGGGCAGTGGCCTTCGTCGAAAACTCTCCGCCGTTTGCTTTGAAGTTCGAAACGATCGCGTTTAATTGACTTTCAGCGCTGAAACGTATTGGAATAACATCCGCGTTTCCAGTCAAGCAGCCTACAGACCGATATAGCCCGACTGACCATCCGAGCTGCAGCAGATATTTAAAGTAACAAACGAGTTATATTTAAACCTTTTACCGCACGCCCCGTGGCTTCCCGTATGATGCACAATGCGGTCGCGTTAGTTCCGTCTGCAATATTTTCCGTGCAATTCTCCCGTTGATGGCTGCGAAACACCACGTGAAACCCGTGATCGAGGAGCGGCGCGTCGTTCGAGGTAATTAGGTATTGATAATAGCATTTTTCTTGTTGTCGATGTGGATATACAAGGGGATTAACTGCGAGTAGGCAATTGTTCATGGGGATGACTTTACGGATTGACCCTTCGCTGTCCTATGTCGGGTCAGACTCGACAGAACTGAAATCTGAAGATCTGGAGTGCAAAGAGTTGAAGTAAGAAGAGAATGAAGAGTTGCTTTGTGTCTGAGTTGTTATATTAATTGCTAGTGATGCTTGAGGGCAGTTGGATTTCATTTAATTGTATTTTTATTAAAGATATGTGCTTTCTTTAAGTGTTTCCTGTGGAATTTAATTTTCTTTGAAATCGAAAGAGGTAATACTGCAAGAGGAAAGTATCGTTATTCGAGGATTCATGGAACTAAAAATTTTGTCAGATTTTGAAATAGAAATGTAAAATATTGCTACGAAGTTTCATGGAAATCCATTCAGTCGTTTGGGAAGAATGCAGCTACATTTTTAAAAATTGCAAATAGTATGATCGTTTTGACACAAGTCAGAAAAAACGTCAGCCACAAATTTCGTCACTTTTCAATTTCATCTTTTATTTCATCTTGATTAGATCTGTATAATCATCCTCGAAAATTTTGCCCACCTTTAGTTAAGAATCTTGTATATGTTTGTATGTGCCCTTATGTGTACGTTACAAAGACGTTTAACAATAACAGTGATGATAATTAGACAAGCGCAACGATAAACAGCGATAACCGCAATCCAAATCGAATCGACTCCGCGAAGCATGGTGAGCGTGTAGTCTTGCTATGAAAATTAAATGAAGATCGATTGCTTCAATCTATATTCCAAGCGATTCAAATAACGACACTTCAATTGCATCCATGGAAATGTCCTCATGTCTACGGAAACAAAAAGTGTTCAGTTTTTTCTTTTGTAGTAAATCTACTTCCAATGAAATATCAAAATATTTATAGATTTTATATAGACTTGAAGATGTTTCGGTACACACAGCTGAAACGTCATTTATTTAATCGTTTGCGATACGGATTTTAATCTCCATTTATTTCCACACGAGCAAGCTTTTTGTTAAATTTTGTAATTAATTGTTACTCGGCGAAAACCTTGACTAATATGCGAATGTATCTATCGGCTGTCATCGAATCCGTTTAAGCCACCGATTTCCAAAAAAATGTTCAAAATTGTTCGCTCGACCTGTGATACCTTGATCGTAGACTGACCCCTGCTCCAAACGCATGGATTGATTTTTACCTTCTCCTCGGATTGACATATTTGCTGTGAATTCACGTGGCGTGAGCGTGCGTGCATCTTGAGGTGGTGCAACAGAGGTTGAGGAGGTTGCGGGTTTGTCTTAAATTTAAAAGAAAGCTGAACGCCTTCCGTGGAACATCCAACGAACAACGAAACGGACGGACTTCACGTGATCGATTCTC